ACATGTGGCTATTATATATTTTTTATATATATAATTATATTTGTATTTATTATATATTATACATATATATCGATCGCATGCGCATGTGTAGATTCCATCTGGACATGATACTTACAAGCTTTCAATACTGTGAATGTATCATCTTCACATAATGTTTGTGTTTGTATATATACTATATACTATATACATCTACAGTTTACAAAGTTTACACACAATATATATATATATATATACATATCGTAAATTATACATAGACAGCATGTGCAGGTTGTACAACACACATTGTTTGCAATATAGAGGAACATGGAGTGTGTAAACTGTAAACTAACTGTAGTAGTATATAGAGTGCATACAATATCATGATATATATATATATATATATATATATTGTATTGTTTTCTATTATATTATATTATAGTATACTATATTATATGATATTATATTGTATTGTATTGTATTATATATAGATAATATAGAGTGATATAGTGAATGTTTTGAACATTTAGATTATGTGGTATGCAGAGCACATATAGCATGTATAGATAGATATGTACAGCTTTCGTTTTATTTATTTATTTCAGTATATACAGTACTCTCGACATACAGTGTAAAAATTGTATGTACTGCGTCATCATTTTTTAAGTCAATATCCATTCAGTCTATGTACATATAGAATACATAGTACATCGTTAGTATACATAGTATATATGCCGTTTATAAACTAATGTAAGGTGCTGGATTTTTTTCTTCAAACTTCAAGCGCATGTACAAGGCTCAAATGTTTAAACTATCCGTATTGTGTATGTATGCATGGATTTATGCGCGTATGTAACATAGCGACATAATGTTCGTCCCGAGGAGACAGTATCAGTATCATGTCATGTGAGAATGTATACATAATACTACTATATACCTACATACAATACATACATACATACGTACACACATGCACTGATATACATAAATATATACATATATATATATACATACGCTGTATACACTGTATTATAAAGTATGTGTGCCTGTGTGTACTATAAGCTCTAAATTCAATTATAGCAACCAATCAACTTCAACCAAAGTAAATGTTGCAGGGTATATAGTGTTTAATGTATAGTCTATGGTATATACTAACATATATAGATAGATGTATATATATATATATACACACACCGCCTACTCTCTGGGCTTGCAACAATGCTTGCTGTTGATCTGACACACACCTAGCTTCGTACAGGTGTCACAGTTCCATAATTATATGTTATATAAGTTATATACGCTTATATACGTGGCGTTACCTTCGGAGCCCCAAGGGAATCGGATTACTTCATTCTCGAGTCGTGAAAGCCTTCCGCCAAGGAGTCTAGAGTCTACAGTCTCGAGTAGCGGGTTTGTAGTATTTGTAGATTGAAAGTTGAAAGGAATGCGGTGTATGCCGTGTGCATGTCATGTCAGATGAGACCTGGATATGAGGCGTCGTATAGGGTTTCATGATGTTTCTGTGTTCTGAATTTCGACGTCAATCTCGATGTAATACTGAACTGAACCTACTGAACTTTCTCGACCGTCCCACAAAGCTAAGGCCAGATCCAGAGGTCAGAAGGCGGAACAAGTGCATCTTGGAGCTTGTGCTGGGACCAGAACCGGCAGACGAAGCGGCCCGCAAAGGAAGGTGGGAGCTGGCGAATGAGTTGTTGGACCTGGACACAGGTTCGTGGGGGACGCCACAGATCACTCATCACTGCCGAGGGCTGCACTGCTGCCCAGAAGGAATCAAGCAGACACGGGCACGATTGTGGATTCTGATCACGGCAACCCCGCTTGAGACATGCAGTACTGTTGAATGAATATGTAGAAGGGGGTGATGTAGGTTAAAGATTCAAGACTAGTGACTGACTGGATGACTAGATTTCAGATTCTGGACTGTAGAGTTGTCGCACATCAGCTGGCAGGTAAGGGGATGGGGGATTGAGTCCTGGCTTTGGCCAGGCATTGATTTTCGGTGTCAAGCCGACAACGCCGGCCGTGTCGCGATGGACGCTCTGCGGGAAGTCGGCACGATACTTCTTGCGGCCTGCCTATGACTGAACTGAGGGTTAAATCGGTTAACTGTATTGCATTTGATCCACCTCGAGCGCGCGTACCATAGCAGCAGCCACGATGTGACTCGCGTGGAAGGTTTGCTTTGCATGAGCTCAGTGAGTCAGTCGTTCGGTGGGTTGTTGGCTGTTGGCCCCACACCCATCAGTAAGTAATTAATGCTACCTAATACTACAGTACATCAGATTAGCCGACCCCGCTTGTTCACTGGGGCGACCAAGTATAAGTGTACGAATCAGCGTTGGTCGGAAATCGGAAAGTACAGAGTAAGTTAGTTAGTACTTACTACTAACTACAAAGGGTTTTGGTCCAACTTGTAATTTTAATGTTATTTAGTGATTAGTGATTGTAGTGACATAGCGAGTCCAGTTTGGAGTAAAGTTCCTCGTTTCAAGTACGTGATTATGATTATGTGAATTAGGAATTATGAATTATGGTACTCTTTTTTTACTTAGTTACTTTTATACTGTTCATCCTTGCGAATCGTTTCATTCGCTTGTCGTCTTCACAGTGTCATGTTAGTCACTTCTAGTCATGTCATGTCACGTGTCACATTTCACATGTCATGTCGCAGTATCATTTGATTCCCGCTTACATACATTCCGTGCTTGGAATGCTCTGTATCTTCACTACTATATAACTATATTGAATCTTGACTCATGACTTATGTTCACATTGTCGTTGCAGCCTGAGTCTGCGTCCGAGTCTTGGTTGTGTCGACTCCCTCGAGGCTAACCAGCGCGTACCATGGGATCCTGCTGCAGGGCTTCAGCAGACTCCACAACATGAGCCCTGCTTCACTCAAACGACATGCCGATGAGTACAGAGAGATTGCTGCTTCTGACGTCCTGCTAGATGCAGTGGAGCCTGTTCGCAGCGGAACAGCTACGCTTTTTCAGAAAACCATGCGGATCAAGGCCTACAAGAGCTACTGTTGGCTCAACGACCCCACCACTGTGTATGATCTTACGATTGCCGCTGCTGTCGTTGGACCGATGGAGCGTGTAATGTGGACATTCATGTCATGGCAAGAGAAAGGTTTGCACTGGTCACCAAAGGATTCGCCCTTGGTCCAGATGTCGAATGCTGGAAGGTCTCCAGCAGCGAGAGCAGTCAGTGAACTGTCTGACATCATGGAGACAGGCTGCACAGGTCCCGGACAGCCATCACTGCAGGAGATCGCAGATGGAACATGGGCAGCTTTAGCATTCATGTTACAGGATGTAGATATAGTACTACTAGTGAGTCAGTGGTAACCGGTAACTGTGGTAACGGTAACAGTGTGTCTCTAAGTCACTAGTATAGTATAGTGCCAATAAGCAGGATAATGTATGAATACACATAATAATACTAACACTTACGTGGTACTGATGAAAAATACGAACCGAGTTTAAGTTTGGGTTTGGACCAGATTTAAAGTTTTAAAGAAAGTGTCAATTGGTATGAGTTTAAGTGTACAGTGTACAATGTAGACTTAGACTGTACTGTACATTTATGAAAGTATGAATACTATAAACTATAAACTGTAAGCTTGCACTTTAAATCCCAGTCAACGCGGAGCCGCTACCGCTTGACGTGACCCGTCCCAAGTGCGCTGGAGTATCAAGTCTAAGCTGACAAAAACCACTACGCTGGACTCGGCTAAAACACTCACCGAATCTAACTACCAACAACTAACAACTAACCCTGTCTAAGTCTAACACTCACACAACGTTCTTTTCAGAGAGTCTTCTCTTCTCTTCGGTGTTCCTTCGGAATGCCAAGTTGTGTGGCCTGACGTGGCTGGCATGCGAACAGAGCTCCTTTCTTTACGATTATTTTTATGTTGCTAAGAACTAATAACTAACAAGTATGTCTTGGCGTTGCTACGCTCTGGGCCTATTTGTAGTGTCTCTGAGGTCCGTAAGCTTCCAATGTCGTAGAAAATTATGCAGATATATTTAGTTATGACGTATCTATATATATATATATATATATATATATATGCGTGTGTATAGAGAGAGACAAGTAAATTATACAATATAGACACATTATATGTTACTATTATGTTACATGTTACACACACACCTCACAATTAAGTCAATTAAAAATTAGGTAATTAGATATAACACAAACCTTAATAGCTTACGGGACATGTTAGATGACAAGCAACGAAACTGATATCAACGTAAAAGTTTGTAAACATGAATGACCCCCCCGCCGCAAGCATAGTGTGATCGTCACATATTTCAATATTCAATATGCGAAATGCTAAGACACGCATCCTCGGGACTCGGGACAGTGCTGTGCAACCCGTATACGGATTAGCGCTGACATGGAATCACATCTAGGCAACCTTGTGCACTTTGTCATGGAGTGTTGCTGTCGCATCAGTCACATTATGCAGCGTTCCCGCCGTTTTAGGTGGTGTATAGACCTTTGGGGCAGGGTTTAGGTCCTTTAGGTTATGGGGTTTAAGGCTTAGGGGTTTAGGATTTAGGAAGTTTAGGGTTTAGGAGCCGAATTTGAACTGAATTTGAAGCGAATTTGAAGCGAATTTGAAGCGAATTTGAAGCGAATTTGAAGCTAAAGGTCCTTGGGTTGAGTGTTTGGGGTGTAGGGCTTAAGGCTGGGTTTATGACAGTTTATCGTGTGTAAGGTTTATCGGGTTTAGGGTTTGGGGGTTCTCGGGTTTAGTGTACAGCCCACACAATGCCACTATGCAAGAATATTTGCTATGGCTAATTACTGACTGCTTATTTAGTTTGTCAAGTTAAGCCGTTAAACTTAAACTAACAATGTACTACTCATTTGTTTACTCAATGTCAATAATGCTAACTCATCAACTACTGGTCGTATCCGGGTCATTGGAGTCGGAGATGATGGGGTTGCAACCGCACACTATGGGCCTGGCAAGCTGAGGCATGTCTTCAGCAACACCACCATGGTTTTTCGACAAGTGTTTCTGGTGTCTCGTGACGGCCATTGGACAATTGACAGCCAGGCTCGTCCGGCCTTATCAAACTCTGCCGCTCTGCCTGGCTCGTCTGGTGGATGAGGATGTGTCCATGGATGCGAGGCGCGTCATCGCCCACTGGTTTGTCAACACGTGTGGTGACTGCTGCCTGGACGCAGCATTTAGCAAGCTCCTGCACTCTAAGTGTTCGGGAGCGGACGATCTGCTGCCTGACGGATCCTTGCATGGTGTGCTGCAACTTGCATTCTGCGGAAAGAACACAAACATAGAGGCCGAAAACAACTTTGCCAGAGCACAGAAGGCAGCCCAAGCGCGAACTTCATTGAGCACGAGCATGGCGGCTAAGCATGTGTTGAGTGAGGCCAAGCGGTGCCACCTTTCCGATATCACAAGCCGTGTCCCTGCCAGCGTTGCTACCGTGGACGATGAGTCGGGAGGCACAAGTTAGATTGTTTCAATGTTTCCAATCCCCAACACCTGTTTTCAAATCGAAAGAGTCGAGCGGTCGAGTGTCGCAAGCTATGATAGGTTGTCATTGTTAGATCAAATGAGCTAGCTGTTGACCGGTTCATGCAACCAACGTTATATATATCGTTTGACCGAATTCAGAGTTTGGTACGTTACAGTTACAGTTTTATGTACAGCACAGATCAACAGTTTAAAGTTGTATTTAATGATTAATGGTTCAATAATGGTAGTCACTAGTTGACGCGGGGTTCTACGACTCTTGAGGTAACCCAATAAGAATGTATAACTTATACCTATACTATTAACTATTACATAAAATTTACAGTATACTTTATACTTAGTATGCTATATCCGTATAACTTGTACCTTATAGCTCTATGTCAAACCAGTCAAATCAATTATTAACTATTGCAGTCATGAAATGCATTCGGACATGGCTTTACGGAACTTAGCACGTAGTATTTGTTTGCACAGTGAAACCCGGAATAGTTGTAGATGTTAAAAAAAATGCGAAGTGCGAATGTAACATCGACGTTGCTGCAATTACAAGCAAAGCTTGCAGTTAGCAGTCAAGGCTAA